CAGCAGTGAATTAGTGCCTATCCTACACAAATGCTTTCAAAAAATTGAAAAAGAAGGAATACTACCAAATACATTCTACAAAGTCAATATTACACTAATACCAAAACCCAACAAAGACTGCACAAAAAAAGAAAATTACAGGCCAATCTCCCTAATGAACACTGACGCAAAAATCCTCAACAAAATCCTTGCCAACAGAATCCAACAATGTATCCATAAAATAATTCACCACAACCAAGTAGTATTTATTCCAAGGACACAAGGATGGTTCAACATCTGAAAATCAATCAATGTAATCCAACACATCAACAAAAAGAAGTGTAAAATCCGTATGATAATATCCATAGATGCTTAGAAAGCATTCACCAAAGTACAACATCCATTTATGATAAAGGCCCTTGAAACTCTCAGGATACAAGGAACATACCGCAGCATCATAAAGGCCATCTAGGACAAGCCCACAGCCAACATCATTCTCAATGGTGAAAAGCTGAAAGCATTCCCATTAAGATTTGGAACAAGACAAGGATGTCCACTCTCACCACTGCTTTTCAACATAATACTGGAAGTACAAGCCAGAGCAATAAATCAAGAGAAAAACATACAAGGAATCCAAATAGGCAAGGAAGAAGTCAAACTATCACTATTTGTGGATGATATGATAATATACAGAGAGAACCCCAAAACTCCACAGAAACCCTAATTCAAATAATCAATCAGTTTAGTAAAGTGGCAGGATACAAAATCAATGCACAAAAATCAGTAGCCTTCCTATACACAACAATAAATCTGAAGAAGAAGAAATCAAGAAAACCATTCCTTTTATTATTGAAACAAAACAAAATCAAATACTTGGGAATAAACCTAACAAAAGAAGTAAAGGACCTATACAAAGAAAATTATAAAACACTGTTAAAAGAAGTAGAAGTAGACGCAAAGAAATGGAAAGAAATCCCCAGCTCATGGATGGGAAGAATTAACATTATCAAAATACCCATTCTACCAAAATCAATCTACAGATTCAATGCTATTCCAATTAAAATTTCAAGTCATTCTTCAAAGAAATAGAAAAAATTTTGATGAAATTCATATGGATCCACCAAAAACCCCAATAGCCAAAACCATCCTGAAAAAAAAGAAGGGAATGAAGGTATCACTCTTCCAGATTTCAAACTATACTACAAAGCCATAATCATCAAAACTGCATGGTATTGGAACAAGAACAGACACAAAGAACAATGGAATCGAATAGAAAATCCAAAATAAACCCACAGATTTATGGTCAACTAATCTTTGACAAAGGAGCAAAGACTATGCATTGGAGCAAAGAAAGTTTGTTCAATAAATGGTGCTGGGAAAACTGGGTCACTACATGCAAAAGAATGAAGCTTGACTGCTACCTCACACCATAAACAAAAATCAACTCCAAATGGATTAAAGAACTAGACATAAGACCTGAAACCATAAAATATATAGAAGGAAATATAGGTGAAAAACTACATGGCATGCACATCAAAGACATCTTTACAGACACATCACCCAAAGCAGTGATAGTGAAGGCAAAGATAAACAGCTGGGACTACATCAAATTAAAGAGCTTCTGCACAGCAAAAGAGACAATAACCAAAACAAAGAGAAACCCCACCAACTGGGAGAAAATTTTTGCACACAACACTAATGATAAAGGACTGATCACAAAAATCTACAAAGAGCTGATGAGACAAAAAAAAAAAAAAAAGAAAATAATCCAGTCAAAAAATGGGCAGAAGAGCTAAAAAGAAACTTCTCCAAAGAGGAAATACAAATGGCCAACAGGCATATGAAAAAGTGTTCAACATCACTTGTAATCAGGGAAATGCAAATCAAAACTACAATGAGATACCATCTCACACCAGTGAGAATGGCACATATTAAAAAAACTAGCAACAACAAATGTTGGCAAGGATGTGGAGAAAAAGGAACTCTCCTGCACTGTTGGTGGGAGTGCAAACTGGTCCATGCACTATGGAGAGCTGTGTGGAGATTCCTCAAAATACTAAAGATAGAGCTTCCATATGATGCAGCAATTCCACTCCTAGGTATTTACCCAAAGGACACAGAAACATCAATTCCAAAGAGCACCTGCACCCCTATGCTTATAGCAGCACAATTTACAATAGCTAAGCTTTGGAAACAACCTAAATGCCCAAAAATAGATGACTGGATCAAGAAGATGTGGTACATATACACCATGGAATATTACTTAGCATTCAAAAAAGATAAACACATACAATTTGCAGCAACATGGATGGAGCTGGAAGGGATCATGCTCAGCAAATAAGCCAGAAAGAAAAAGAAAAATACCGGATGGTCTCACTCATAGCAGGAATCTAGAAAACCTAAATAAAGGACCAGGAAAAAGAATAACTATGAGAAAGAAAAAATCAAAATCAAAAAAATATGAGCCAGAGACACTCTGAGGGCGGGGGGTGGTGGGGAAAGGAGGGCTTGGGGTCAAAATAAGGGGGTTGCAATTGTATGGAGAATATAAAAATAAAAAATAAAAATAAAATATGGGGGACAGAAGAACATGACCCGTATGACAGAGCTAATCTTAGTAAGGAGATCTCTCTGTGGGGAAATGTGCAAGCAGCCATAAGCTCGTGATGGGCTCTCCATCGTCAGTCATTAAGGAAATGCAATTCAGACCAAACTTAGGTACCACTTTAACACCAAGTGTGGTAAACTAAAACAGATAATAACTAGTGATGACACAAATTTGGAAGAATTGAAACCCTCACACATAGCAGAATGGAAAAAGGTAGAGCCACTTCGGTAAACAGTCTGGAAATTGCTCTAATGACTAATTCTAAAGGTAACATATGGTCCAAAAGCTCTGTTCACAGCATAGACCCAAAAAAAGTGAAAACATATACCTACAGAAAACTTGTATAAAAATGTTTCTTGTACACGGGGACTACACCTGAGAGGAGAAAGCATGCGTTGCATAAACAGAAAAAATGATGTCAAATATACATATGCCTATAAAATGTTTGTTGCAGGATTAGTATTCCAAATAGCCAAATGGTGGAAACACCCCAAAATCTGTCAATGAATAATGGATCAACTGACCAGGGTGTGTCCATAGCATAAAATATTCCTCAGCCATGAAGTGGAATGAAATCCTGCTCCATGCTCCAGTGGGACTGAAGCTGGGAGATGCTGTGCAATGACAGGAGTCAGCATTAAGACCACACACCACACGGCTCTACTTGTATAAAAGCCCTGGATAGAGAAATATAAAGAAAGACAGAGAAACTTACAGCAGTTGCTTTGAACTGGGGTGTTTGGAGGTAGGAACTGGAGAATGGGGTTCATTTAGTGTTAAAATTATGGAAAACTGATTGTAGTGATAATAGCACTATGATAAATATACCAAAACCTACTGCATTATATTGACTTTCATGGTTAAAACAATGTATTTGAATTATATCTCAAAATAAGTGACGTAGACACAAAAGGTAGAATGTATTTAACTCAGTCTGACAAAATTTCACACTTGTGAAAAATTTAAAAAACTTTCCCACAAGAAAGATAAATCCCATTTCTGAAATTTTGTTTTAAAAGTCACCTTTTCTTTCTTCAAATACTGTTCTATAAATTATGGAGTCTCCTCACCGGTGTGTGATCTCATGTGATGCCAAGGTCACTGGGCGCCTGATCCAGTCTCCAGTGAAACATCTTCCTGGCCCCTGAGTAACACTGCACCCCGGGCATCATTGTTCAGGTCGGTGTGGCCAGTACAAGGAGGGGGGCAGGTGACCACAGATGACCACCAATTCAATGAGATCCAGATTCTTCTATTTTCTGGTTCATCCAACCCACTGTGGAGACTTTCCTTCTTATTTTGTTAACATAAGACTTCAGAGTGGCTGCTGCAGCTCCAGCTATACATCCTTATTCAAGAGAAAACTGCTGTATGAGTCCAGGATATCTTTAATTCACAGCAAAGCTTCATTGAAAAGAATCCCATTCAAATGACACTTACAACACTTCAGCCAGAACTGGTCCACATGGCTGATCCAGACTGAAGGGACCTGTAAACAGTGTCCAGGTTTGAAATAGATGAGACAACACACAGGGGTTAATGAGGATCATCTACTGTGTCTGAAAACCAGCTGTGTTGTTGCTCTGCTCCATCCACAATATGGGCACATCCGAGAGCAGGGACAGTGCCATGTTCATGCCTTAGACCCCAAAAGGAATGTGTGCAAGATTGAAGCAGGGGTCACTAATATTTCCTGGACAAGGAAACAGAGGATCAACATGGCAGAGAGGAAACGCTGCGAGTAAGATCTCCCATTCAAAAAAAGTTAATGGGGAGGAAAAGCAGTCTCAGTGAGAAATGGGACACAGAAGATAAACAGGCAACTCCAGCAAACTACCCGAAGAAGAAAGTTGCCATAAATGAGGTCTAGAAGGCAGGAAAATGTGGAACCAAGCTTAGCCAAGGTTTCGCCATTTTGTATATCCTCCACCTTGATATCTTGATAATGTTAGTCCTTGTCCAGCCGCATTCCGGAGATAGTTTCAATAGTCACAACCCTCACTCCACTTGGTGACGACAAAGCAGACCACCCCAGCCGCCAACGAGGGCAGTCCTATCCATAAATGGGACAGCGTCACTAACCGTCCAATCAGTTTGAAACTGTAACTGTGCATGCCAAAATGCCTTTGTAGTAGCCAATGAGTAATCGCCAGCTTCTTTCAAAATTCACGCTGCTTGTGACCCTATAACAGACCCCTGCTTCCTCTGTTCGGGGCTCTCGACCTCTGCCGTTGCATCAGTGCATGTCGTGAGCCTGGACTCAAGCCCGTAATAAACTCCTTTCTGTTCTTGCATCGGCTGTCTGTGTCCTTGGGGGCTGCACTGGTTGACGTTGGGCAGAACATTTGGGGGCTCGTCTGGGATCAATGAGTTCAGACCCCAACTACTGAGCAACCGAAAGGAATTCTAAAGCATGCAGGTGAGTTCCCACACTCGCCCAGGTAATCTCCAAGTCTGCAGACCTGTGGTAGTACTTAGTACCTGTATCTTTTGTTCTTCATACCTGTAAAAGCTGTTTTGTACCTAGTACCTGTATCTTTTGTACTTTGTACCTGTGAAGGCTGTAATTGTTTGCAAACCTGAAAATCTGTTTAATAGCCAGGTCAGGCTTAAGTGGACGCACTTGGAAGCCGCTGGTGTTGACCACGGGAGACGTCCCTGGACCACATGTTAGGAAGGCCTTACCGTTTGTGGGGGAGCAGATACCCCTTTTGGGGGCCTTTTGAAAAATTAGTCTTTGGTCTGTTTCTTGTGTCAACAGCCACTGTACTTCTAGCATTTGTCATCATGGGTCAAGCACCATCTACCCCTCTATCTGTGGTTTTACAGCATTTTAAAGATGTCAGGTCCAGAGGGTCGGACCTCAGTGTGGAGATGAAAAAATCCCCTCTAATCACCTTTTGTTCCTCGATTGGCCAAAGTTCGGAGTTGGTTGGCTCCGAGGGGACTTTTGATTTGCAGATTATCCGTCACGTGAAGGAAATCATCACCCGTGAAAGAAAATTTGGACATCCTGACCAACTCCCGTATATCTTAGTCTGGAAAGATCTAATCCAGAACCCCCCTGCTTGGTTAAAGCCATTTTTGTCATTACAGGCACAACCCGTACTGCCAGTTAAACTGCTTGGGTCACACCCCGACACCCCGTCTGCACCTGCGGTTTTCCAAGACTCTACCCTGGAGGAACTTCTTTTTCCGCCACCCTATCATAACCCTTGTAGTAACCTTCCCCAACCCCTGCGGTCGGCTGACCACCCTCCCCCAGAGGCGGACGGGGCTTGCGGGCAGGGTCTGGCTGCAGGCACCCGCTCAGTGAAGGCGAATTCCCCGGATTCCACCGTCCTGCCCCTGTGCGTGGCAGGATTGCCTAATGAGCAGGGCAACCAGCCCATGCACTACTGGCTGTTCTCAACCAGTGACCTCTACAACTGGAGAGCGCAAAATGCACGTTTCTCCAACAACCCTAAAGACCTTGTTAATCTCCTAGACACTGTTATTCATCAGCCCACCTGGGATGATTGCCAACAGCTCTTGCAGGTCCTCTTCACCACTGAGGAGAGAGATCGTATACTGACGGACACCAGGAAGTTAGTCCCTGGAGAGGATGGCATGCCCACCATGAACGCGGCCCACATAGACTTAGTGTTTCCCTTGACCCGACCTGACTGGGATTTTAACCAGGCTGAAGGTAAGGAGAGACTCCGGGTGTACCACCAGACTCTAATGGCAGGGTTGCGCGGCAGCCCGCAAGCCCACCCATTTGGCCAAGGTAGGGGATGTGCAGCAGGGAAGGGAGGAGACCCCCGCAGCTTTTCTAGAGCGCCTCATGGAAGCTTTGTGGCAATACACTCCTATGGATCCGGAGGCGGCGGAAAACAAGGCCACAGTGGTAATGGCCGTTGTTAACCAGGCGGCTCCCGACATTAAACAAAAACTACAAAGAATAAAGAGGCTGGGAGAAAAAACTATTCGAGATCTTATTGAGGTGGCAGGAAAAGTGTACAATCGCCATGAAACTCCTGAGCAAAGGGGAGACCGCATCCGCCAGGAAGAACGGAAGGTAAGGGCGGCTGAAAACGCACGCCACACTCGGGATACGGCCAGAATCCTGTTCCAGTCACTCAAAAAGACGACCCGGGTAAGCTACTCCCCTCCCGCCGCCCCAGCTCCGCAGGGACACCAGGACCCTACAGTGTGATCAATGTGCATATTGCACTCAAAAAGGACACTGGGCCAAACATTGCCCAAAGAAACAGGGAATAACCTCAAACAACCCCGCCGTTTCTGACACTCCTGTCCTGGTGCTCGGGGGCACAAGAAATGACAGTGACTAGGACCGTCAGAGCTCGACCATCCCCGAGCCCCGGCTAACCTTAAAAGTGGAGGGGAGACCCGTTAATTTCCTTGTGGACACAGGGGCACAGCATTCAGTCCTCACGGAACCCTTGGGTAAACTGTCCAGCAGAACGTCTTGGGTGCAAGGGCCTACAGGATGCAAGCAGTATTCCTGGACCACAAAAAGATCTGTAGACCTGGGGAAAGGTCAGGTCTCACACACCTTTGTTGTAATCCCTGAATGCCCGTACCCATTAATTGGAAGAGACCTTTTAACCAAGGTAGGAGCACAAATCTCATTTGGACAGGAAGGTGTCGAAATCAAGGACTTTAAGGGCTCTCCCCTACGCATCCTCACAATTTCCCTTCAAGACGAGTACCGCCTGTTGGTGGCGCCAGGTCATCCACCCCTTTCCAGGTGGTGGATGAAATCTTTCTCCCATGTTTGGGCAGAAACCGTGGGCGTTGGCCTGGCGTCCCACAGACCACCCATTATAGTCCAGCTAAAGCCCGGGGTTGAACCCATTCGGGTAAAACAGTACCCTATGCCTGCAGGAGCCAAGGCAGGAATAACGCCTCATATTCGGAGGCTATTGGACAGTAGTATCCTTAAAACATGCCATTCTTCATGGAACACCCCTTTGTTACCGGTGCGAAAACCACATTCACAAGACTTCAGGCCGGTACAGGACCTCAGGGAAGTAAATAAACGGGTCATAGATACCCACCCCACAATCCCAAACTCTTATACCTTGCTGAGTGCCTTGCCACCTACTCATGTGTGGGACACAGTATTGGACTTAAAGGATGCCTTCTTTAGTCTACCACTAGCACCCCAAAGCCAGGAAATGTTTGCCTTTGAATGGCAGGATGCGGAACGGGGCATCAGTGGACAATTAACTTGGACAAGGTTGCCTCAAGGGTCTAAAAACTCTCCCACCCTTTTTGAAGAGGCCCTTCATGAGGATTTACGAGAACTCTGCAGCCGATTTCCCGAACTAACTTTGCTCCAGTATGTTGATGATCTGTTACTTGCAGCGGAAATTGAGTATGCCTGCCAAACAGGAACAGCCGAATTACTGATGGAACTGGGCCAGATGGGATACCGCATAAAATTGCCTGCCCAAGGTAATCTATCTGGGCTACCGCCTCAAAAACGGCTAAAGGTGGCTGACGGAAGCCAGAGAAGCTACTGTCTTACAGTTGCCGACACCCACCACCAAAAGGAAGGTACATGAGTTCCTGGGATCCACTGGGTTTTGCAGGCTATGGATACCTGGATTCACAGACCTGGCCCAACCCTTGTATGAGGTTACCCGGGAAAAAGTGACTTTTCAGTGGACTCCCCAGATGCAGCAGTCCTTTGAGTCCTTAAAAAGGGCTTTACTGTCCTCACCAGCCCTGGGTCTTCCGGACATTACAAAACCTTTCCATTTGTTCATAGACGAGGCAAAGGGCATGGCTAAAGGGGTGCTCACTCAGTCCTTGGGCCCTGGAGGCGTCCTGTGGCTTATCTAAGAAGTTAGACCCGGTGGCATCTGGCTGGCCACCGTGCTTACGCATGATGGCAGTGGCTGCCCTCCTTTTCAAGGACTCCCAAAAGCTGTCTCTGGGACAAGTTACTTCCATAACCACCCCCCATGTGGTGGAAGGAGTCCTCAAGCAGCCGCCAGAGAATTAGATGAGTAATGCCCGAATCACGAATTACCAGATCCTATTGCTCAACCCAGAGAGGGTCAATTTTTCGCCACCCACGGGGTTAAACTCTGCCTCCCACCTGCCTGCCCCTGACCTGGACGCCCATCTGGACTGTGTTGATATCTTGGCCCAGGTCCAAGGGCTACTCCCTGATCTGAGAGATAACCGTCTGCCGGACAGACTGGTTTGGTTTACGGATGGGAGCAGTTTTATCCACGAGGGGCGAAGAGCGGCAGGGGCGGCAGTGGTGTCCATGCAGAAAGTCACATGGGCTGAACTTTTGCCATCCGGGACGTCCACTCAAAAGGCTGAGCTAATTGCCCTAACCAAAGCTCTCACCTTGGCCTCTGGAAAAGATTTAACTGACAGCAGATACGCATTTGCCACGGCCCATGTACACGGGGCCATATATTGAGAGAGCGGGCTCTTAACCGCTGACAGCAAAGGCATTAAAAACTCTCAAGAAATTCTGGATCTTCTGGCAGCGCTGTGGCTACCGAGTAAGCTGGCTATAGTGCATCATCCTGGTCATCAAAAGGACTCCTCGACTCCAACTCAAGGTAATAAGCGGGCGGATGAGGCAGCTCTGATGCCGATGGATGCCCTGCCGGTAAAACTCCCAGACCCAGGAGACCCACAGCTGCCGACAGACCCGGAGTATAGTACTGTGGACTTTGACTACATACAGTCTCTACCGGGTGCTTTTCCTTTTGGTCACTGGTGGTACACCCAAGAAACTAAGGCCATCTTGCCAGCACACGTGGCCACTGATCTCATTCAGTGCTTGCACCGAGCCACGCATTTGGGAGAGAAAAAAATTCTTAATCTAATTAGGCAATGGAACCTCCATGGCTGGGACGCAACCTGTACCGTGTGATGAGTAGTGGCATCCTGCCAGTTGTGCGCCATGGTAAACACCACCAAGATGACCAGTGAACCAGGAATGAGGCCACGAGGAACGCGCACAGGGGTCCATTGGGAAATAAACTTCACCAAGGTAACACCAGGTAAATTTGGCTATCGATACCTGCTGGTCCCGGTGGACATGTTTTCCGGATGGCCGGAGGTGTTCCCGACAAGACAGTGAGTTGGCTCGAGTGGTAGCCAAAATCCTGTTGGAAAACATTTTTCCTAGGTTTGGGTTTCCAGTGACCATTGGGTCAGACAGTGGACCAGCCTTTGTCTCTCAGGTATCAAAATCTGTGGCTTCTGCCCTGGTTGCAGAGTGGAAGCTCCATTGTGCCTATCGGAGTTCAGGGCAGGTGGAGAGAATGAACAGAACTTTAAAGGAAACTTTAACTAAATTAACTTTGGGGTCTTGTGGGGACTGGGTGACTCTCCCCTATGCCCTCTTCTGGGCTCACAATTCCCCTTATCATCTGGATCTGTCTCCGTTCGAGATTATCTATGGAACTGCCCCCCCACAACCACACCACACAGTGCTCGGTTAACTTGTGACTTGCCTTCTGATTGTGAACTTTCTCTTTCTGTATGGGCTGTACAGCAGGCTCACCAGGAGGTGTGGCCCCACCTCAGAGCGCTCTATGAAGGGGAGGACCTTCTCAGAGAGCCCACAAATTTCAGCCTGGAGATCTGGTCCTTGTCTACCGACACAAGGCTGATGGTCGTGGCCTCCAGCCCCGGTGGAAGGGTCCATACATCGTCCTCCTGACCACACCCACCGCACTCAAAGTGGACGGCATTGCGGCCTGGGTTCATCACTCGCACGTCAAGACAGCACCAACTGATGACTCCCAGCTGCAGTGGCGAGCCCGGAAGCATCCCACCAATCCACTCAAGCTGACTCTTCAGGCGATCCCGGCTGCAACCCATCGCTCCCAGACCACTGCCCACGCCGTGAAAAATGACAACAAACTGTAATGTTGGCTACCTACTGTCCTTCCTTTGTTTTTTCCTTGTCAGGGCTGACTGGGATCCCTGCCAATGGTGCACCACCGAAGGCATATTCAGTCATATTCAGAGCAAGTGCTATGCTAGCAAGCGTGCTTGCAGCCTTGAGGGAGTTCCTCTGTTTGCAGCGACCCTGATTAAGGGCACCACCCATGGATGTTCAGGTATAGTGGGGAGGGTGGTCTGTTGGAAGCATTTAAATCACATGCCGCCTAAAAATGAAAGTTGCAATCATTGTAAAGCAGGGGGCAGTTTTTCAGCCTATACCTTTGTTCATTCACAGTGCTATGAAAGGTCTACTCTTTATCAGTGCACAGAGTCCAATCGAACTTTCTGGACTGGCATATCCTTAGGAAATAATGCAGGATATGTATGCCCTGTTAAAGCAGGAAAACCCTTTTGTTGGACTCTGCAAACCCATTGGGGAATGACAGATGGGGGGGGGTGCAAGAGCACGCACAGAAGCAGGAAGTTCAAAGGGTTTTTGAACAAGTTGCCCAAACACACGATCAGTGGTTCAAGCCGATACACATCCCAGGCCAGGTGGGTTCCCTTAAATTGGGAAAGACAGTACAGGCCATGTTAGACTCAGCCCTACAATTTTTAAACAAGACCAACCCAACCCTGGCCAGCGATTGCTGGTTATGTCTAAGAGAAGGACCCCCCCGTTACACAGCGATCCCTGCTGTGTACAACTGGACCAATTGGATGAACCTAGAGGGCCCACCCCATAAGTGTAACCTGACCTTGTCCATCAATAATGTCAAGCTCTCCCCAACAGTTGCTCAGATGCCATGCCTTGGTCACAATGGGACCTTAAGAGTGGGTCAAGTAAATAAGGGGCTCTGCAGTTCAGTAGTCAGTGCAGCTACGGTACCCAGTTTTAATGGCTCTGCCTCTATGTGCCTGCTGGCGCTGGGCACTGTTATCTTCTGTGGCACCACAGCCTACCCCATACTCCCTACTGACCGGTAGGGCATGTGAATTTTAATATATCTCATGCCTTATGTGGGAGTGGTCCCAGGCAACCAAAGCCTTCCCATACAGCTCACCCAGTCTGTGCCTGCCGTACATAATTGGGCTGTGATTGCCCCACTACTGCTTGGCCTGGGGGTGGCAGCCGGAGTAGGTACCGGAGTTGCTGGAATTGGGACCTCTGTCAACCTTTACAAAAAAATTTCAGCTCAGCTGGTGGGGGACACTGGGCAGCTAGCAGACACGACTTTAGAGTTACAGTCTCAGTTAGACTCTTTGGCCTCAGTGGTCCTGCAAAACAGTCGCTGGCTGGATCTTCTCACAGCAAAGGAAGGAGGCATCTGTCTCTACCTGCGGGAAGAATGTTGCTTCTATGCTAACAAGTCAGGAATAGTTAGAAATAAAATTAAGCAATTATAAGAGGAACTACAACACTGGAGAAAAAAGCTAGAAGACAGCAATACATTTCTTTGGGAAGGCTTAGGAGGATGGCTGCCCTATCTCTTGCCTCTTCTGGGCCCAGTTGTTACCCTCCTCTTAATTCTGTCCATCGGGCCCTGTGTCATTAATCTACTCGTGGCCTTTACTAGACAACAGGTAAACACGGTCCAGTTAATGGTCCTGCGCTCCCAATATGCCCCCTTACGCCAATATGACTCACCCCTGCAACCCCTGCAACAAGACCCCTCCCAATACAGAGGAGCGGAGCCCTGACTATATCCCCTCATCGCCCACTTTTAGCAGGAAGCAGTTACTGATCAGAACGATGCCCCTTTCCCTGACTGCAGTTAGGGGCTCCATTCGCAGAAGGGGAGGAATGAGACATAGGGCAAGTTAGGGTGATTAAGCAAGTTTTAGGGACAGTGCAAAAGAGGACCGCTAAGCAGTTTAGGAAGGCTTCAGAGATAAAAACAACGAAAGAAATGTGTTAACGTTGGCCTTTGTTTCCTTCAAGTAATAACGGAGAATGTTTTAATTAGGGCAGCAGATTCACTTATGCAAGGAGAAAATGAGAAGGGGTTAACATTAAGACTGGTGGACGGCAGCCTGTTTTTTTCAATAGCTGATATTTAGTGACCAGATGAATTGTTCTGTGGCTAGCTAACTAAAGAGAAATCTCTTGTTTGAGCAGAGTAATTCTCATTTGTGGCTGAGGATAATACCTCTTGCTGACTAAGTGGATGGTTTAGCATCTGATTTTCGGAGGTTGTGGTCTGAGATGACCCAGAAAAAGTCAATGTTTTATATACGGATGGCAATTTTTCAGCTTTGCTGGGCCTATAAACCTGTGAATGAACAAAAAATGACACATTATGCGGCTGAACTTAACCATAATTCTGAGACTGACTAACTGATAAAAGGCTTGGTAGCTGTGTTATTTTCTTAGCTGACTAGCTGTTTTTCAAAAAAAAAAAAAAATGGGGGAATGTGGAACCAAGCTTAGCCAAGGTTTCGCCATTTTGTATATCCTCTGCCTTGATATGTTAGTCCTTGTACAGCCCCATTCCGGAGATAGTTTCAGCAGTCACAACCCTCACTCCACTTGGTGACGACAAAGCAGACCACCCAAGCCGCCATGAGGGCAGTCCCATCCATAAATGGGACAGCATCACTAACCGCCCAATCAGTTTGAAACTATTACCGTCAGTGCCAAAATGCCTTTGTAGTAGCCAATGAGTAATTGCCAGCTTCTTTCAAAATTTCCGCGGCTCATGACCCTATAATACACCCCTGCTTCCTCTGTTCTGGGCTCTCGACCTCTGCTGCTGTATCAGTATGTGTCGTGAGCCTGGACTCAAGCCCATAATAAACTCTTTTATGCTCTTGCATCAGCTGTCTGTGTCCTTGGGGGCTGCACTGGTTGACGTTGGGTACAACATTAAGCTCAGAACCCTGCTATCCTCCCCCACCCACAAAGTCAGCACTCTCTGACCAACAGAAAGGAGGAAAAAACAAAAAAAAACTAAAAGAACCAACAAGAACAAACTACGCATCAAGCGGGACTGTGAGTGGAAAGGAACTATTTCAGCCACCACACCCCATGAACTGGAACTGTGGAGAACCCTGCAGGATTCGCTGCGGAGGTGAGCGAAAGGCACCATGTGCCATTAGAGAAAAATAAAGACTCCCGGAGACCTACACACAGCCCCAGGCCAGCTGGTCAGCTTCTGCAGAAAAGCTGCACACTTGAAAAGGATACGCGGATCGCGGCTGCCCAGGTCCCCGCGCCTGCGACCTAGGCTTGTGGGGAGACGCACGGGGGCCCTCACTGAGGTGAATGTCCCTCACTGAGTAATCATAAACCAGGCGCCTGGACACGGGACTGGGGTGCAAAAGGTGCCATTTCTGGGAACACTGAACTGGGCTACAGCCCGTGTCCTGGACCTGAGGGCTCTGGAACTGAGACCTGGAGCATGAAATTCAGGGAGTGGGATCCCCACGAGTGGGGCACAAGGCAGACACAGCACCCCAAAGCAATTGAGGCTTTCCCCACCACTCCCACTCTGTTCCCCTGTCCAACTGGGTTAAAAAAAACAGCTCCCAAGGACACTAGGAGAGATCTCTGGTGCCACCTAGCGACCAGAAAAAAAATCACCAACACCCCATAGAATGGGGAACTTTCTTCAGTAAAGAATGCTTGAAACTGGCAGAAGGCTCCCAGAAGAGTCAGAGGTGAGCTGGGAAGTTCGCCCAAGCCAGGCCCCTTCTGACCAGCAGTCTGAGCCCAGAGTGGGAGTGGGCACCCATGGCCAGGGCAGATGCAGCGTACGGGTGAGTGTGCCTGTCTCCGAATAGCCATTTTAGAATAGGAACCTCTCTTCAATAAAGACTGCTTGAAACCTGCAGAAGGCTCCCAGAGGAGCCAGAGGTGAGCTGGGAAGTTTTCCCACGCCAGGCCCCTTCTGGCCAGCAGTCCGAACCCAGAGGGGGAGCAGGCACCCATGGCCGGGGAAGGCCGGGAGCACGAAAGAGTGTGCCTGTCTCCAAAGTGCCATTTTAGAACAGGGATGTTTCTTTAATAAAGACTGCTTGAATCTGGCAGAAGGCTCCCTGTGGAGCCAGAGGGAGAAGGTTTCCTGCGTAGTCAGAGGTGAGCTGAAGGCCCCCACAAGCCTGGTCCCACTGGCAGGAAGTTGGAGCCCAGAGGAGGATCCAGAGATTTGGAACCCAGAGTGCAATCCAGCTGCCCCACCTCCAGGGAAGTCTGTGGGACTTCAAGATGCACATTTGTAACTAAACACAGAAGGAGAAGAGATTCTGTGACAGTGACCATTAACATACTCAAAGTACCACTGCCTCACTAGACTTCTGGCATAACAATTTTTGACTCGTTTGGATTGCCAGTTTCTGAAACTCCCGAAAGAACACACCAAAAAGATGCCAGCCAGTACCAGCGGCACAGTGTTCCAACGCATATGGCAAATGAGAAGACAGGCAGCAGGGAAAATAAAAAACTACAAGCAAAGTAGCAACGCCTCAGAAAAAAAACGCACCAAAAAAAAAAAAAAACAAAACAAAACACCTACCAGCTTGCAACTACGAAGACTTGGAAGAACTTCTGAGCCTTCCAAAAAAAGAACTTAAAATTGCCATGATGAAAAAATTGATGGGAGTCATTACGGAAAACAATGCTCAGAAGAATGAAATTGAGTCCCTAAAGAGGGAACTGAAAGAAACACAGGAGATCAAAGAATTAATGGAGGCACGAAAGAACTCTGAGAAAAGCAATGAAAGAAGAATAGATGAAATGGAAGAACGAATAAGTACTCTTGAAGACACAGAAATAAAGAGAACCAAAACAGAAAAGGAAAGAGAAGTACAAAGGAAAAAGACCAAAGAAAGACTTCGGGAACTATCTGACTCCATGAGGAAAGGAAATATAAGGGTTATAGGAATCCCAGAAGGAGAGGAGAGAGATGTATGAACAGAGAAAATATTCAAGGAGATAATTGAAGAGAACTTCCCAAACGTGAAGAAGGAGCTGAAAATTGATA